AAATATTTAATGTTTAAATGTTGTTAATCTAGTTTAATTTATTTTAAACTTTTTGCGTTGAAAAGTGGTGAAAAAAGCATCATGGACAGTAAAATAACTTGTTACTGAAATAAAATGAATTGACAAAATGCTATTGACTAACCACTAGAAAAAATATTTTATTGACTTAACCAAATGGTTAACAGATTATTAGATGACTGTCTTTGTTTTTATCTATTCCTCAAGACAATTATTACAATGAAATCTTGCTTTACAAGTTTCTATAATCGGATGTCGTGGCCTTCAAGAAATTGGAGCGTTTACTTTTAATTGCATATTTCCTCACTGTAACTTTTTATATTCAGAGGTTGATATATTCTAAATGTGTCTGCTGAAGTTATAGCCAATTTATACACTTAACTGGTGAGTTATACCTAATCGATTTTAATTTCAGCTTCGTATAATGGTACACGGAAAAAAGAAAAAGGGAAGAATTACCATATATAAATAGTAACAAGTGCCGTTTTTAACTTAAAACTAAAAAAATTGCAGATCGAAATAAAATTTTTGGAATTCAAACTTTGAATGTCAATTTTCACAGCTTTAAATGTAAAATTTATATTTTTTAATGTAATTCTTTCAAAATCTCTATTTTTTAATATGAAGCGCCAAGTTACATTATACAATGTAATTTTTCCTTTTTTCTTCTTTCCGTGTATATATATATATATATATGGATTTTGAGAAAGGTTTTTTCAACTTTGAATTGTATAAAAATTTTTAAAAAATCATAAGATTTGAATTATATGTTTTTTTTTTCTCATATATTTGTGCACAAAACAAACATTTTTACATTTATTTTATACATATGTCGAAAGCTCTTTGAGTAATACGGGAAAAAACATTAAACCGAATTCACCGTTATGAATCCATACCTCAAATTTTAAAATTTCGTCGTCATTATTCGTTTCGTCTTCTATGTATGTAGTATATTTCAGACAATCAAATTTGGAACTAGGTCATCTTTAACTTCCCGCTAAGAAAATTGAAAATTTTCAAAAATCGGGAAGTTATTAGTTTTATACCATTTTGCAAAAATCGAGTTTTCATCAGATCTCGACGTTTTAAAATCACAGGAAGCTTCACTGACTATTCCCGCGATAGTGTCCGTGCGGCTGTATGTATGTGTGTGCGTGTGTGTATGTGTGTATGTATGTGTGTGTATGTATCTAAACCTCTTATAACTTTTGAACGGCTCGGCCGATCGGATCGAAATAGGTGGCAATCCAAAGAGTATCATTGCCATTAAATTTCGTGAAAATTTGAATCGATTCGATTCGCTAGATTTTGAGAAATCTCAAAAATAAAATTTTCAAAAAATCGTTTTTTCAGAATAACTTCAAAACGGCTCCACCGATCACTTCCTAAAACTGATCCACTTTTAAGTTTAAAAAACTACGTCGATTGCCAACAGTCCCGTCACAATCAGTTGATTCGTTCGAGAGTTATCGAAAACGAAAAATTGCGAAAAATAGTGTTTTATTAAACTTCTATCAGACTTTTGAGCTCGAATAGCTTAAAAGCTTAGAACTGCTAACTTTATGAGCCCGGAGAGCTTGAAATAACATACAAAATATAATTTTGAGCTCGAAGAGCTCAAAAACGTCATAAGTGCAATTTTAAGCGTTTAGATATGGAATTAGCGGGAAGTTGCAGGGATGGCCTTTAGGGTCAACCGTTTTCCAGATTTTTTTTAAAAGCTTCTTTAGAACACTCTGACCAAGTTTCGAGGATATTATCTTCCAATTCAGGATCCCTCATGTAACCACTTCCGCTCTTTGAAATATCGTCAGAATAAGAAATTTCTATACTAAAAAATATAATCTAAATAATTTAAAATAATATGGTTATTCTATAAACTTTTCGTTAACCTTACCACTGGTTTGAGCCGCATTGTAACTAAAAAAGTCATCTGTAACCACAAGTATAGTAGTTCGGAGTACGTAAAATTAATTATTCGTTTTCATTACTATAAATGTTCTTTTTCCACAGATAGACACATTACGTGAATAAGTGAAGTTTCAAAGCAAGTTAAAACGATATTATATGGTGGTGGCAATACTATTGAATTGAATATATAGTGGTGACAGTAAATCAAAATGTTATTGGATATGTTTAGAGAATGCTTAAGCTAACTGGATTATCGTTTTCTGATCCTCGTTACGAAGGACAATATTTTTCAATATCGCAACCAGTTATGGTTAGTAAATGATGAGATTTCGTAAGCTTATAACTTATGACATACTATTAATCGACTTAAATTCGTCTGTGATTTTGATTAACTAATCATAATCACACATAACTTTAAGTTATTTAGTATTGCGAGATCTCAATCAAAACGATCTTTTTGAAAATAAATTTTTTTACTTTCATTTTACTTAACGAAATATTGATCAATTCCAGTCTCATTATGCGCGTAATCAATATTTTACATGAAACATTTGATTTTAAAATTCATTTCTTCACAAAGCTTATTAATTTGTCGATATATCGTTATAACGTAAGTGTTTCAAATTGATTTTTTCTACGTAAAAAAGCAATCACATTCTTAAGTAATAAGCGGTAAATAAAGAAGCGTAAAAGAATGATTTAAATAATATATTACATCGACGTAATGTTTGTAAAGAAACAGAGAGAAAGAATGAGAGAAACGACCGCGTTACATTCCACGTGACAAAGAGAAGGGTATGTCTTGGCCGCTAAGTCACGCGTTTAATCATGCTTTACCCTTCCCAACACGTGTAGCATAGTGTGTATCATGAAGCAAATTTATTATACTATTGAAAGTTTTGCCAATTACGAGCAGAATAATACAAGTTGATTCGGTAATTTTACGTGTTTATTTAAATTTAAACTCATTAAGTAAAAAATTTTGTCTGGGTATATATTCAAGAATTTAAGAAATTATAGGTACATCCTGCTTACACTTTACAATTATTTGTATATTTTACAAATATACAAAAAAATTATTATGGATGACAAATTTATAAAATGTTTGATTTTGTAAGCCACATCTGGAATTTTCCTCTGTTTTGGAGTTCAAGGCACTCAAAAATTTGCTTGTTAGAAAGTATAGATACTATAAATTATTTGTTGGTCTTAGGATGAGTTGAAAGCATACAGTTATTTTTTACTCAACGATCAAGAAACACATCAAGTCAACAAAAGTGATCCCTCCCTTCAAATGACAGACTAAAAATTTCAATATAAACATACGTATTATTTTTTATAATTTTTTCTATAGAAGAATCTAACTTAAGCGTATTTTTTTAGCCATTCAAATTTTTTCATAATTTTGATTCTCAAAAATTGGACCGAAATCAATAAATTCCTAAATTTTAAAAAATTAAAGATTTTTATAGTGAAAAGTTATAAAGAAATTCTTTAAATAGTTATTTAAACTTTAATATTTATTTTGTTTTTACCAATGAGCGCATATTTTAAAATTGAAATATCTAAAATAACTATAAGAGACCTCATAAATTATTGATTGCTTTATAAATGTAGATTAAAAATCATTATAATTCTTAAAATTATATTACCTTGGAAACCATTGCTCTACAATTTTAAATTAACCCCTGACAAGCACACTGGGTAAAAAGTACCCACCCCAAAATTTTATTTCGTTATAATTCTTTGTATATATTTAAACTTCGATAGTATTTTTATCTATTGTAATTGACACTAATTAATTTATTATTATATCTATTTTATAGAGAATTTTTTGAGCTTTGATTAAAAAAAAAGAAAATTCTCTAACTTTATTAGTAACCAAGATATTTGAAAATGAAATATGTTGCGTACTTTTCACCCTCAATGCCTAAAGAGGTATACGGTTTAGATGTGTTCTTGTCAGGGGTTAATAAAACTTTGTGTAATTATTATTAATTTTGAGTTATTCCGAAAACACAGAAATTTAACGGTTTTTCTTAATGTTTATCAGCTATTGTTTGACGAGAGACAACCTTTAGAAGGACATTTTTTTTATGATTCAAAATACCATACCAGATTTAGGTAATAGTTAGGAATTATTTTTCAATCTTTTCTTTTATCGAAGCTTCTTTTGCCTAGTCAATTAATAGTGTATCATTGCAAAAAAAAGATGATGTCCGATTTACTTTAAAAAAATTTTTTGTCATAAACAATGAGATTTAAGTTAAAAGAATAAAGTTAGTACACCTACACCGTAATCGAGGGCATGAATAAATAGCGGAAAAAAATGATAATAATTGTTGAAAAATTATTTATTAAGCTATTACATTTATTGTACGATTTGTTATTGTTGATGACTTTTGATTCTATTAAAACTGGTTTTTTCTAGATTCAATTAGTTTATCGTCCAAGAGTTCAAGAAGGCAAGATTGGTAAAACAAAATGTATCATTCGTATTGTATATTTACTCACAAGCTATCATCAACTATGAATTAATTTTTTCTCTTGTTTAATAAGAATTTACTTAATTATAGAACGATATGTATTACATTATTAACAAACATATATTAAGAAACGAGGAGGAAAACAAATTTAAATTAACTTATTATTAAATACTTAAAAAAAATCTTTATTCTTAACCGTTAATTTAAGATATTTTATTATCACGATAATGAATATTATCTTAAATAACGTTATTTATGATAATTCAAACTTGATAAAAATTACTAGAATTTTATTTATGTCTGAAATAGAAAATCACTTAATATAATAAAGAATGTGTTTAAAAGAAAAAAATTTTATAGTTGTAAATTCAAAAATTTATTAAACTACTGTTTCATAAATCAGATATAATATGCCATAATATTTACAATGGCAATAAATTTAAAATAAAATTCAATTTCAGCAATCCAAGAATTCTTAATAACAACCAAATTCAATTGACATAATATCAATGTAGGAATGCAAAAATTATAAGAACTGCAAGCAGATAATTATTATTAAAAATAGAAATAAAAAAAAAATAACAATTAATCTCGATCTCCTCTTTCTTCAGCGCGTTCTTCCGCACGAGCCTTCATTCGCGTAATAAAAGCTTGCCCTTTGCTTTTTCGGAAGTTTTCGTAAGGATCATTTAAATTAATACCGACACCTTTGTACTGATCATTTTTATCCCGGATTTCTCCTCCAGAGATGGGAGCTTCAATGCCTTGTTCATTCGCTCCCAAGCCGGCACCACTCCAGCCCATTTTTTTCATCAACTGATGTCCTTTATTACTTTCATCTAATGACGACTCTAGTGGAGGTTTACTGTATGTGGAGCCACTAAAATTATAATTGTAAATAAAGCAACAAATAATGGAAAAATCAACATCAAATTATTAAGGGAGTCTTCTGGTTTGACGACCAAAAACAAATTTTTAAAATTGTATTTTTGACTGATTTCGGAACAAAAAAAGTCCGAATTTCATTTTTTTTTGTCAACTTTTTGATACAAAAAAAAATAGAAATTTTCAAAATTTTTATTTGACCGTAGTCCACTCGGTGTATTTAAGTATACAGATTAAAACCCCATCGGGGGTTTTTTTTTTGTTTCAGATAAACCAATCAGCTGATATCATGAAGGTAGTGAGCATCAATTGAAAAAAAAAAAATTTTTTTATTTTAGAAAAGTTGACAATTTTTTTTTTTCAATTAAATAAAAAAAATCGGCCCTACCCGGGATGAGCGAGAATAGTTGTCAAATTGATTGAAGTTTTTTTTTGAGAAAAAAAAAATAAAAAAAAAAGTGACCATCTTTGATAAAAATAACGATTTTGCTCAAAAAAACCGATTATTTTATAGAATTGATCATATTCAATTTTTTTTGTGTATTTTTTCGAAAAGTTCATTCAAAAATAAAAATTTAAAAAAAAAAAAGGTACCCAAAGGTCAATGTCTAAAAAAATTATGGCTATTTGAAAATAAAAATGCCATTTTTTTTTTAAAATTCATAACTTTTTTTGGGTTGGGTAAAAAAATTTGAAAAAATTCTCAAAAATGTCTTTTAAAGGGTAGAAAAGAATAGCAAAGTTCCAGCTAAATCTACAGGGGTTGGGTTCAAAAGTGGTCGATTTGGCATGGAATACCCTATATATTATTGCAAGAATATATTTTCTTGTCTCAAAAATTGATCGAATTATTTTTTGTTTAATTCAAGTGAACCCATTCGTTTGTTAATCTATAAAAATTAATGCCAATATTTTATAATCATGATAGATATTGATATTCTTTTGTCAAAAAACCAAAATTTATTTTAAACGATTCTTAAGCCAAGAAATTTTTTTCTGGACGAAAACTTTTTTTTTTCTCAATGTATAAATAAATGGTAAAAAATTAAAATTTCTATCTCTTCATTGGTTTTTACAAAAAAATCCCAAAAAAATGCTCAAAAATCAGGACGTCAAACCAAAAGACCCCTTTAAATTAATATTTAGATAAAATACTTACAGGAAGCTCGGAGGTGTAGGACTACGATCTAATCTATCATTTCTTCTGTCAGGACTTCGGTCTTTATTGCTATTTCTTCGGCGTCGATTTCGATTATTATGAATAATAACACCATGGGCATTATTACTATTACTATTATTATTAGCACTAATATTATTGTTGTTGTTACTATTATTATTATTATTACGATTATTCCGGCGATGATTATTTGCTGGAGGTGTTTTAGATCTACTTCTTCCTCGTGATCTAGACCGTGACCTACTGCGTGATTTACTCTTGTAGCGTTTCTTTGGCGGACTAGGACTTTTTGATCGAGGTCTTGAGATCGGCGACGGCGATCTCGATTTGACTCTCAATCCTGACTGAATATCTTCTTCTTTTCGTTTACGAGCTGCATTTTTAGCCTTAAAATATTCGTACAATCCTAATTTTTCCCATCCATCACTGTTAAAAAATATATTTGATATTTAATAGACACTTATATTTTATTAAGTCAATGATGTACAACATAAAAAAAAAATATAAAAAATTTATGTACCTATCTCTGGGAGAGTCATGGTTGGGTGGCGCGTAAAACGCTTCAACGGCAGCAACTAAACGTTCGCTTGGAGGAGTCGGAGGTGGTAATCTTATAGCTTCGGGATCTAACGATCTGTATTCACCATCTTCTAGCTTGATCAAAGGTACCATCAGCCCGGCTGGAAGCTCAAAGTAAGGCATGCTAGGCATAAGATCTTCAATGGAAGACTCATGCATAAGAGGTGGCGGTCCAAATCCTGGTGGTGGTTTTGAAAAATCCGGTAAAGGTACTGTAGTGAATGGTGGCGGATCAGATGTTGGTGGAACACCCCAACCGGGGGGAGGCTGAGAGAAATTTAAATCACCAGCTATAGCTGGTGGCGGAGGTCCAGTATGTGTTGGTGGGATGTTGAGATTTGGTTGATTTGGAACCTAAAAAAATTATAAATGTTAGGAATAAAAAATGATAATAATAAATCATCCTCGTGGATAACTACAATTATTATTATTATAAACCTGGTAAAAAATTTAGAACTGAATACTTAGATATTTAATAGGGTAGAAGTACCGTTTATGGCCACCTTAACACCGTTTTTGATCAGTTAACATTTGAATTCATTTATAAAAAATTATAATATTACAACCATATTTTTGTGAGTTTTAAAAAATTTATATTAAAACAAATTAAGTTTGTAATGGTTTATTAATATAAATTAATTTCTATCGAAATTGTATTTTCTAACTTTTGTAAATTCTAGCGAAATTGTAAATTCGAGTAGCTTACAAGTCTTCAAAAAAGAAGTTTTCAATTACTTATTAAATCTTGATAATTAAAACGAAGTCTAATAAATAACAAATATAAATTTAATATATTGAAGATTAAAGATTAAAATAAGGATAAAGTAAGTGCAATTCGCAGAATTATTATGCTGAGTTATCATCTGAATTGGTGAAATTAAAATTCTATATTTTTCTATATTAATTTCCTAGTTTAATTTGATTTTACTTTGTTTATATACAAACTAATTTAATTAATTTTTATGGAATACTATATTATGTACTGACAGAAATTGCTTTCTTGTAAAAATCGTATATACTATGTAATTGAAATTGTCATTTGGCCTGTGCCTTGGCATCAATAAACAAAATTTAAAATCTAAAATCTATCGTTTATTTGAACAATAAATGGCCATAAACGGTACTTCTACTCTATCTGTATTTATTATGAATTTTATCGGTTATGGAAAAATTCTTGATTATTACAATTTCATGTAAAAAGATTTTGTGAAATTAAGTTTTAAATAATGACATGATTTTTTCTGATTTAAAATGAACTACTAGATAAAAATAATATGAATTCATAAAAAATGACCCAACTTTGTGTAAAAAAAAAACTAAATTCATCCCACATGATTTTTGTATCCATATTATATCTATAATTTGACAAGACATGAATTTATTTTAAGATCAGAAGGAAAACATTCTTTTATGATTTATTTATTTAATTTCGCCAAAATTTTTAATATGTATTAAAAAATTTCAAGATTTCATTGGAGAGAAACTTTTATAGTTAATAATAAAGAATAAATTTTTAAAGAGAAATTTATAAAAACATAAAATGATGTAATCTGAAGATTTTTTTTTTTAATTTTGAAAATTAAATTTCTCTTTAGAATTTCAAAATATTTAGATCTGATGAAAACTCAACTTTGAAAAATCAGATCGATACTAATATTTTTTATATTTTCCAAACTTAAATAAATTTTTTTCATATTTAAAAAAAAATTAACTGAAATAGTTTCCTTTCTAAATTCAGCTCATCATTCATATACTTACGATTGCAGATGGTGGTGGAGCTGGGGCTTTTAATTGCTGATTAATACTTATTTTTTGTTGTTCAATAGTTGAAATTTGTCTCATCGCGTGATTTACAAATGCCTGATGCTGAGCTTGATAATTATCAAAGGTTTGTTTGGTAGAAGTAGTTATTGGAGTGATTGCACTTGCAAACTGCGCAACAAGACCGGCCTGGTAGTCTGACCATGAATGACTGGGTTGTTTCAATTTTTCAACAATATTCTCATCAAAATAATTATTTTTGGACTCCCACAGGCTGAGAAGTTTGTTAAGCTTAGTCAGTTGATCACTGGTTGCAGCTAGTGAAGTATTGCAAAACATCGGAACAACAACGTTTTCCATCGCTTGGCGAAGATCCATAGACTTTTTTCTGGCGCTGAAGAATCAAATTAACTTAGATAAATTTCCTTTTCAATAATATTTACATGCTCTAACTTACCAATGGTGTAACACGTCATTTACCAAGTAGATGATGTGAAGTTTTTGGTTGAACGTCGCTCCTTGTATTACTCTGAAATAAATAGTTTATGATAAATTCATAAATTAAATAAAATTTTATAATAATGAAGTTAGCCGACATTTTCAGTTTTTTGAATTTTTTTCAATAATAAAATTAGAACAAAAAAATATTTTTTAAAAATTGCACTTACAGTTTTTAAAGTTTTTTACAAATGACATTTTTTAAAAATTTTTTTATAATAATTTTTTCAATAAAAAAAAATTCTTAAAATTTTCAGATGTCGGCTAACTTTATTGTCATAAAATTTTTATTTTTTAAAGATAAATAAATTTAAATTTAAAACATACTTTTTTAATAAATACTCAGCAATTACTTCGTTGCTCTGAGCAGTAAGACTGTGTTGAAGTATCCAAGCTTTTCCCGCACTAATACTGTCTTTTGTACAACTGTCGATGATTGGTTGGAGAACAGTATCGAATGCAGCCAAATCAGTATTGGTGCTTTGAGCATTATTTTGAAATGCTGTTTCTTGTGCTTGCCTAACAGCATCCTCCACTCTGCCTTGTTGATCTCTCATCAGAGAAGCATGTTGAGCAGCTAAATTCTGTTCGGATTGTATAACTTGCTCTTGAAGAACCGACTGCTGTGATTGAAGATTCGCCAGTTCATTCTGTAGCCATCCTGTTGGTCCATTGATATTTACATTTTGTCCTGAGCCACCAATTGGTTGATTCACAGCTCCGATCACGTTAGGAACAGATCCTATTCCTGGTGGTCCGGCATTGTTAGGAACGGCCGTCAGTGATCCAGGAACACCGGGCAAAACTGAGCCGGAATTTCCAACTGCTCCGATCCCAACCACTTGGTTTAACGGATTGTTCTGGGTGCTTAAACACGGCGTAAGATTCATGTTATTCATTGGTGCGGCAGCTACTGGTGTTTGTTGTTGCTGCGAAACGTTTAAACGTGGGTCTGCATTTTGCATTGGGTTTATTCCTTTTTGTTTTAAAACTGTAAACGAATATTGTTTGGTGAATTATTGTTTATTTCTTTTTGCTTTTAGTTTTTTTTTCTACAACTTATTTTATTGACACGATGATTGTAGCCTGTAAGTGATGCAGTGTAATGATCTTCACTGAATTTAATCGTTAATTATTTTTTGTACAATTAAATTATGTGAAAAATAATTTTTTTGAAATAGTATCAATTTAAGGGGTTAGGGGTAGTCAGGATTTTCAAAAAATCGATTTTTTTTTTTGCATTTTTTTTAAGTATAATATCTTAAAAATATTCTCTGAAAATTTGAAGTCAATCCGATCATTATTTTTCGAGTTATTCGACAAATAACAAAGAGCGCTCGGGCACTCCTAAACGCTCGGGTTAGATATGCAAACTACATTGGCGATGGTGATTCGAAGACCTATTCGGGAATTATGAAAGCAGATCCTTACAAAAATACAACCGTAAATAAAAAGGAATGTATAGGCTATGTTCAAAAGCGGATGGGGACTCGACTGCGTAAACTGAAACTTCAACAAAAAGGTCTTGGTGGTAAAGGTAAACTTACAGGAAAAGTAATAGACAAATTAACTGTGTATTATGGTTTATCAATACGTCGTCATTGCGATTCTATCGAAGATATGAAATCTGCTATTATGGTAACTTTCTACCACTACGGTTCGACTGATGAAAATCCGAATCATGGTATGTGTCCAAAAGGCGAAGATTCTTGGTGCTCTTACCAGCGCGCTGAAGCAAGTGGAGAGCTTGATACTTATACTCAAGATTATTCTCCCTTACCTCCTGATGTTTTAAAAGCTATTAAACCGATTTACGACGATCTCAGTAATGATAATTTACTTTCAAGATGTGTAGGTGGATTCAATCAAAATAATAATGAGAGCTTCAACCAACTAGTGTGGAAAATATGCCCAACAACCATGAATACTAGTTTTACTATCGTACAAATTGCTGCATACATAGCTACATGTATATTTAATGAAGGTACAAATTCATTATTAATGATTATGAATGCTATTGACTTTTTTAAAGATATAAGTTCATCCCGACATTAAACTCATTGAGACCTTTCATTTGAGTACCCACAATTTTTCATATATTTATATATATTATATATATGTATATATCAAAAATATATCCAAAATGCATGTGGGTACTCAAATGACAGCTCTTAATGAGTATGACATCAGGATGAGCTTATATAATAAAAAATGTCAATAATTAAGAACTGACATTGCTATCTTGTCAACTATTGACATTTTTAAAGATATAAATTCACCCGACATGAGAGACCTTTCATTTGAGTACCCACAATTTTTCATATATTTATATATATTATATATAT